ATTTTTACCAAAAATTATCAAATCTGCGCATATGTTCAGAGCATCTATGTACAAGTTTCATCAAAATCCAATGAGTGGTTCTTTAGATATCAGTGGAACAGTCATAGAACAGCTAAAAATTAGCTAATTATCATGCAAATTAGGTAATTAACGAGCATGGATTTTTACCAAAACCTAATCAAATCTGCGCATTGGCCCAGAGCATCTATGCACCAAGTTTCATCAAAAACCGATGTATGGTTCTTGAGATAGCAGTGGAACAGTCGGACACACATACACACATACACACACACATACACACATACACACATACACACATACACACATACACACATACAGACACACTAACTGCAAAGACTCCTATTTTGTGCTTCGCACATGGGAGTCAAAAACAAAATGGCCACCAGTCAGCCATTATAAATCTAATCTGAAAAACAAAATGGTGTGCATCAAGGTCCCATAATGTCCAATGTATATCCCAAGTTTGAACAAAATCCATCTGTAAACGGCTGAAATCCACTTCTCGAATGCCAGAAATGCTTAATATCAATGATTTTTCAGTACAAATATGGCCATCATATAGCCATTCTGAATCAGATCGTGAAGCAAATAGATGTATATATTATGTATAATATTATGTATGATGTACATGTATGTGTGAAGTTTGAATGTAATTGGTCTAGGCATGGCTTAGATATAGGTCTGGACGCACGCATAGACAGACACACACACGAAGGTCAATTCATAAGTCACCCTTTTTGTCCAAATGAGGACAAAAAATAGAACATCTTACCAGGAGACATATTTGTGAGAGCAGCTAGAAGATCATAGTTGATAACAGGACTGGCTTCAAGACCTTGTCCCCATCCAACTGGTGGAGAACAGGGTGGGGAAATGAGAAACTGTCTAAATGGGGGTGGAGGTTGTAAATGAGGATTTGCAGCTAGATCATCGGCAGAAGGTGGTGGCTGAAAAAAATAAAAAAAGTAATTAGTAAGGCAAAAAAAATTTTTGTTTGTTTTTATTTTAAACAAAGAAAAAAGTGAAGGGATTGTGCCTACTGTTAGTGGTGCAAAATAGTGTTCATGCATGCACAGACTGATTTTATTGATTTAAAAAAAAAAAAAATTGCATTCAATGTATAATTTGTTATGACTAGTGTTGGCAAAACATTCCATAAACTATAATGCAAAGGGTAGGACATTTACAATTTGTTGTTTTATTTATTTTATTAATACACTTGAGTACTAGCACTGAAATCCAAGAGGGCTGGGTGAGACAAAGTAAGGGCTATCCAACAACTATCTGCTACACAATAGAATACTATTATTTTGTTATGTCCATTGAGGATAGAAACAGCACAGTGGATTGTAATGTTTACTAGAAGTCTTTCTCATAACTACAGATAAAGTGACCCTGGCAATTGCATAAGTCACAAAATTTTGAAGCTTGGCAGACATG